ATCCCTTCTTCACGATTTTCTCAGCAACCTTTGCCAATATAGGTGTCAGACAAATTGGCCTGTAATTGTCTACTTTGCTAGGGTCGCCGCCTTTCGGAATAGGCTTCACCACCGCACATTTCCAGTCAACCGGCAACAAACCTTCGGACAGCGACCTGTTGAAAAGGTCAGTCACGATAGGAGAGAGGATGGTTGAAAGTGACTTGAGAACCAGTGGGTGAAGCCCATCAGGTCCGGCAGGTTTGGTGCCGTCAAGGTTGGCGAGTAGTTGAGCTACCTCTTCGACGCCGCAATGCAGACTATCGAGTTCGGTAAAAGCGGTACACGTCGAACTCGGAACAGACACCTGGTTATTCGCAAATACAGAAGCGAAGTGCGCCGCCAACGCGGACGCACGCTCAGTGCTGGAGGTTAGGGGCTGTCCATCCATGCCATCCAGCACTGGCACATCACCTGACGGCTTCAGGCGTCGCTTCACGTATGCAAAGATTCTCTTTGGGGCGGTCTTCGCGGCTAATGCGAGCTGCTCTTCAAAGTGTCGGCGTTTATTCTTTTTTGCACTGTTGCAGAGATTCCGCTGACATTTATACCCTTCGTAATCATTGGCAGAGCCAGAGAGAAGGAATTTGTCCCACAGTCTGCGCCGCCTCCGAGCCAGGTTTCCATACTCCTTGTCAAACAAATGAGGCTTAATCGGTCCAACCTTTCGACATTTCAATGGCACAAATTTGGAACACAATGATGTCAATCTCTCTTTTATAAATATCCAACAATCTTCCACAGATGCAGTTTGTGACAGAGACCAATCCAGTTTGCTCGCGGCTCGAGCAAGACCATCGAAGTCTGTTCTCCAGTAGTTGTAAGCTGGTTGCAGCGGACGTGAATACGGCAAAGATAATTCCATATCAGCTATCAGTACTGAGTGGTCGCTCGTAGCCAGGGGCTCCAGGATCCTAACGTCACGCACTCGTTGTTCGTAGCTCGTTAACATCAGGTCGAGACAGGACGAGGTTGAACGTGTTGATATGCGTGTTGGCTGGCATATGTGTTGCGATGCACCAGTTTCAAGCACCAAATCCACGAACTTTGCTTCAACCTCACTATGTCCAGGCATCAAATGCACATCAGGCCATCGTATTCGAGGACAGTTAAAAGCCCCCATAAGCAGAAAGTGTGGACGACTCATGTGGGTCCGAAGATGGGGCAGCCAATCCAAACATCGACTCAGGGGACTGCGATAAACTGCGCCCACAAGCAGTTCTCCGCGCCTGAGGCGGATGGAGCACTACAGTAGCTCACACAGACCATCGTCACTTCGGTAGGTGCTCACAAGCCTCCCACGCAGGGAAGACCGGATGTAAAGTAAGACACCACCGTGGGCATTCTTTAGTCAATCGCATCAGAAACACGAGTAACCGTTGAGTTCAAGTTCTTGGGTGTATAACTCTGCATGCAGCCATGTCTCTGCGAGTCCCACTACGTCTGGCCGCTCAGACGCAACGAAACAACAAAGCTCATCGAGCTTATTCATAATACTGCAAACGTTTGTGAAGGCTACTCGCAGGCCGCAGCAGGAGCCACCGGGCGTGCTTGAAGTGTGAGCAGCCTGTTTATCCTGATTCGCGGATTGTTGGAAACCACCCGAAAATTTACGATACGAAGATTTGTTTCCCCCTCACCAGTGCGTCTTTTCAACTCAATGATGGCAGACTTGAGCCGCTCCCTGTCTACTGGGTCCAGGTCGGGACGAACATGGATCTTCAAACCTTTCAGCCTACTTAGGCGAGACATGATAAGTCTTGGACTGGCTTCGTCCACAAAAGTGATTCTCATAGGCCGATTTTGTTGATCACCTTGCTTTCCAAGACGGGTAATCTGCCTCACTTTTACCGAGTCTTCACCAGCGTCGAGGAGTCTATCAATTAGACCCTGTAAAAACTCGACATCGTGATCGTAGCGCACTTGGGGTGATGGATCACTGGACTCCGGTGCGTGAAAGATCACGAGATTATAACGCCTCTGGTCGGACGAGGTTGGCCTTGCAGGGCGAAGTATACTACCAGCCTCAAGTGGTTTGGCTAACTGTTGACTTACAGAACGTAAACGCCCAACGTTCCTTCGTAATTTCGTCCTCTGATCTTTCCACTGGTCTTCAGCACTCAGACTTTCACCTGCTGGGACATCAGTGTCCGGTGGACACAACAAAGGTAAACAATTTAGGCCAGGTGCAACTGGGCTTCTCACAACGGTTGGACTTCGTGTCAGTGAGTTTGCACGGGTAGAGGAGGACGACTGAGCCGAAACCTGAAAGCTCTTCGCGCTAGGTTGTTGGGCCAAACACACGGAGCTGTTCGCAACGAAACGCTGAGGACTACACGTCGGCTTTACTCTTTCTGGCTGTATCTGATTTCGGCAATTTTCACATATAGTTTGGACGAAATCGTGTTGGATCTCGCGAAGACGATGAAAATGCTCAACTGATAATCCAAAACATGAAATATGGTATTTAACTTGGCAAAATGCACACGTGAGGGCATTTGCACGGTATCCGACTAGTTCGGAGCAAGTACCACAGGATGACTGCTTCGGCATTGCGAATAATCCGAAAACAAGATGGCGGCCAATTGACGAAGAAAGTGGCGATAGCAAGATCGCCGAAACCAAGCGATGAAATACAAGTATTTCTGGTCGGAAATTTCAGAATCGGAAATGAAACTGAATTGTAGCTCAATTTCCACGAAATACTTCCAATGAACGCAGAAAGTTACCACAAAGTGATCTTGTCAACACAGCCAAAAATAACCGACCGGAGGACGCTATCCGCAGTTTCAACATGATATTTACACTTTACTTCCATGTGATTGATAAGCTGGAAATACCAAGTGACGCTACGGCCCTGATATGACCCACCAACAAGCACTGCATACGCATTGTAAGCATAAGGTTTGAAGCAATTTCCCACCTTCAACAATGTCTCCGGAATAACCTACTTTCCAATGACAAAATCGTTCCCAGCGGTTGTCAACTTGATAACAACGTGTGTGACGGCGTGCACACTTGAATGCTTCTATGTGGATGAAACAGTGGTCCATAGCAGGATTAGTGGGCGCGGTTGCCATTTGTTAATGATTGCAAGCATGCTGTAGAAACGCCTGTGGGTGAGACAACGGTGTTTGTCTGTTCCAAGTACTCACCTGAATTACCAGAGTAAAATGCATGCGCCACCACTAATTATCGGCGTTTGCGATTTTCCTTGCAGGACGATGTGGCATTTATAAATACGGTAGTCTTTGTAGCCCCTTTAGGTGTTTCATTGTTGAGTAATGCCGATTCCATGTGGATAGAAATCTAGTCCATGGAAGTAATAGAGAGGTTCCATCTGCATTGACTATGTTTGTAATGGTGCCATTTGGAGAGCCACTTGTCAAAGCGTCTCAACCTCTATGGGCGACCATATGGAAGTAAAGCTTAATTATCTTATGAATACCTAGGTTCCTACGACCTTTAAATAACGCCACACCAGTTGATACTGAAGCGATAACTGATTAAAAAATTCGCCCATGGGTGTGCAGACAAACGAACACACACTAATGTCGTGTTACCACCACACTTGGAATCATCTTAGTTTACGTTTAGTCATCAACTGTGATAGAAGCACCTATAGAACATACGTTGTTCAGTCTCAGGTTAGTCTACCTACTTCAATGGGAACAATGTCCCCATGGTCGTCGCAATAACAATCGCACAAAATTGTTCAACCGCCTAGCAGCCATTGTTGACTCACCTTAGGGCGGATGCCTGACCGACCGCAAATGCAGGCCTGCCTGACTACCTTGGACCTAAGGGACTGCGGAATACCAGTTAGAAGAATGCCTGTCTTCGCAACCATGGTTAGGCCGCTGAAATAAGGCACCACTAGGAAGCGGCTAGCGATCAATAGGCATGGACCACTTCATGTGGTGGTTAGTATTTCTGACCGCACTGATTTCGGTGTACGCTTCGGATCATGTGGTAGCTAGGATCTCTTCATACAGGCACCACAAGTTGCCCATTGGATGGTTTCAGTCTAGAGAGAAATCATCGGGGCAGCACAGAAGGTGGTGCTCGAGCACTTTCATTGGACTGTCTGTCGCTTATGCTTGGGGCTTCCAACCGGTGTCAGATTGGTTAACGTCTCATGACCAATGGGAGTGTCAACAACGCCAAAACGGCGTTCTTAGTCTTAGAACCTGCATGCGCTGCAGGCGATTTCGCAAATGTGGCGTGCTAAAAGCTTTGTACAATGAGCTGTCATGCCTGTAAAATGGTATAGATGACCGTTTGCTGAAACCCAGTCACTGTTTTATCGTTGATCACACTGGGCCCAGGAACGTAAGAAGGAGACGCGTGTGAAAAGTCAATTCCGAGAGGTGACTCAATTTGAGTACAAACTACCATTGAACAATCGAGAAGTTCTCGTCTAATCAGTTGCAGGCGTACGTGCGTGGGTGACAGCGCGTAACACCGCCCTCTCCAAATGAGTTGCAACACATCATCCATTAGACATGGACATATCTTCCCGTTAAAGGGATGTGTAAAGCCGCATGGCGTTCATTTTGATGTTGTTCCTAAGCCTTTACGTTCGCAGTCAACTGTCTGGGTGATACTGACAGGGTGCTTCACAGGTCTGTCGCTCTCATCCGGATGTAAATTCCGGAGCACATTAGTAAAGCCGGCATTTCACTAGGGCTGATGGCGTCGGCGAGGTTCCAGCCGGTGGGGATGGTTGTTTTCGGGAGCTGGTGTAGCTGCGTTCAGATTCGTCAGTAACGTCCCGCTAAAGATTGGTGATGAGCGTATACAACAATTACCGGGGTCGTAGTTGAGATGTGTGAATAAAGTCACTCAAACAGTTAGCAAACGAAATAAACACCAGATCGGTATGCAGGATACTGCGTCACGTCGAATACAGAATATAACCAGAGAATGAGGTTTGGCAGCAGCAGTATCAGAGAACTCACCGTTTGATTTGATGTTGTTTGTATGTTCGTCCCTTCTCGTATAAATCAGTGGATAGGTGGAACGAGTGGGTCACTTGTAAGCGACCCCCGTCTTCATGTGTCGACTCAAAGAGTTCAGGCAGGCGTACAGCGCTTGCCACTGTTTGTCCATTGCGATAAGAATGCAAGAGTAGGCCAAGTGCAGAGACGTAATAGAGTGACCGTCCGCCCCCACACAAAACTCCATTCTGTCCTGTAGGTCGGAGAGGATAAGGCAGGGATTCCCCTTGACCATTGACAGGGCTTAGACGAAGCTTCTCTGGGTACCATTGAAGCTTCTGGTCGAGTACTATCGGTTGATGACTTCGTTGGCAGTCCGGTCCCAATTGCTATATGTGTAAAAATATTCAGAAGTTTGTGATTACATGTGGCTAGATCGATAGGCCAAAGGTAACTCGTGCAGCAACTCGGCAATATCAACTACACGATAGAGAGCTGAAGAGTTTGGCCAGTTGCTCATCATAGACTCATTAGAACACAAATGTTTAAAACCGTTAGATTGAATCAGCAGCAGTCATAATGCCCGGGGGTAGCTGATCTTAGATTATGATTTCCCTAAACAACCGAACCACTAACGCAGTCTGCGTGAAGGATCACGAACAATAAGGCTATTCGATAACAACCAGCAACGTTTGTGGTGAAACGGTAAGAAGTACTACTATACCAAAAGTAACTATATGTTGGTTGAATCACTAGCAAATTGGTTGACTGGACTCTCAATTCCAGTTAAGTATCTCTTCGTCCATAACCCCATTGCCGTTTTACCTGCTTCCGCACTTGTGATTCGATAGTGGAACTAGTGACGCGTCAGTAGTTTGGACGCCCAGGTCCTCTCATTAGGACTTCAAACCACCTTGTCACTCAATAATTTGCTCCGATTTTATTTGGTTTTAACATTCGCTAGTGAAAGAATCGGCACACTGATATGGTTGTCTTTCATCTCACTGACCTCCATGCCCGATCACCAGCCTAAGCGAATTTCCAGGTGCTGTCAGCGTACCAAGTTGAGGTTTTGCATTCTTTTTCTCATCATCGTGCCCACTAGGCACAAACACCGGTTCCAACATAGATTGCGGAAAGATTTCCTGTTGATCACCCTGAAGTAATGTATACCAAGGTTCCCACTAAGTAGACCCATTCCACTCTAACTTTTGTATACATGAACCCTACACCTCTGCAACATCCGCCACAAGTTCACGTCTTTTTTCAATCTCCTGAAGTGCTTGATTTACAAATCACCTAATTACAATTCTTCCCTAAAACTGAGTTCTGGACCGCAATTCGTTCGACGTTAAGATGAGATCATTTCAGAGAAAATGTCCGCTTGATATCTGGAGGGAAGTTAAAACAAAATTCCTCGTAGATGATGAACAAACAATCTGCAATAGCGGTGTTCTGAGTGAAAGCTGTACACAATGCTCGGACCAGATTCACTGGACCGTAGCTCAAGTCTTGGAAAAATACAGATATTGCTATTATTATTATTATTATTATGAACATCACATCATCCTCGCACCCATCGTTAACAGGGCTTACTTGTATGATCTTGTAACGTGGACCACTTGTGATCGTTCCATGCACTATTTGGAGTGATGCGTTTATCTGTAACGCGAATAACCATCTGCTTACATCCTATTCGTTGCGATTATCCTCCCAGTTCGCTATAAGTGCTATACCAATCTTCGACTGGTTCACTCGGCCTGAGGACGATTTTGTGTCAAAAACGAAACGTTGCCCACAAACTATACCAACCGGTTGGTTTCAAAGTGTTCTGAAATCATGAGTTCTCGATCGGTTCCGAGTATTTTTCAAGATGTTGAGTATTATTGTTATTATTACGAGTACGGTCAAAGCGTGCAACTGAAACCGCAACGGTTCAGCTATGGACCACACACACACCAGGTATACGCTCAAAGACTACAGAAAGAAGAATCACAAGAAGAAACAAGGAATCCGCTGGTGTCGAAGATTGAACCACATAACGCCTTGGAAAACAATCTTGCCGATATTCTGTGCTCTGCGCAGATGAGTGGCGGCGGACGCAGTCAGAAGGCCCAACGTATTTAATGGATGCGTGCTGTTTCGATGGAGCACTTTCCGTGTTTCTTAACTCCCTACTTCTTACTTACTTACTTACTTACTTACTTCTGTGCATAGACACGGCACTGTCTGACTAGTCAAGCATAGCTAGAATTTGTTGGGTGGTCGTGCCCTGGAATTAAACGGAAATCAGGGTTCGCTGGGTCCCGGTGAATAGAGGAAACATGGGAACAAAAAAAGATAAATATGACTTTGAAAGGCAAAAAATAACTTGCATCACAAAGGGTCTGAAATGAGGATACGGTGAACGGGAGTTTATCATCATTATAATTATATACGTAGGTGGAAAACACCTCAGCTATGGGGCCGCAATACAAAGAAAAGAAAGTGATACAGAGGCACGTCGGCTGAGTCCCCAATCATGGATGGACATCGTTCCGGAGAGCTAACAGCCGGCTATTGTGCCAAGAAAGTCAAATTACTCCTATTCATTGAGATCGTAGTTGGAGAGGGAGGCTAAGAGGAGGGGGATGAACAAAGGAACTCACAACACAAACGCCAATGAAACCTGTTCCTAGCCAAATCAATAAGTGTATCCAACCAAACATGTTCATTGTCCTTCGGTCCCCAACCAGGGAGCCGAGAGGCTCCAACCGAGGCCAACTTCGAAGTAAGAGCCTTCATTCCTCTTGACCAACTCATCGTTTGGCCATCCCTTCTCTTCTTCCCTCCGCACCCTCGGCGAGCAAACAATGCGCGTCACTGGAGTCTGTGTGCTAGTATGCGCAACACGTGGCCCAGCCATCGGAGTCTAGTGTGTGATATAATGGTGCTGAGCGGTTCACTAGCTTTTCCTGCACCGTAGAGTGCAAACCAACAAAGATGAAACGGTAGTGTAAGCTGTATCGATTGAATCGGAGAGTGGGCGGAACGCAGATCTCTGCGTTCGCAGGTACGGCAACATATATCTACTCACTTGATAAACGATTGAACCATCCTCCTTCGACATCACCAACATGTACACACCCCATTCTGGAGCAGCTCGCGAGGAGGCATCAAGTGTGCCGTGTGGCGATGAGTCGGAGAGACGGATGAACGCCACACCAGCCACATCATGTTCGGCCAAGCGGAAGCGATATTTGGGAACTTTGGGCGTAGTGAAGATGTCGTAAATCTACAAATGGAGAGATATGCATCGGACGTCATAAACTATCGATGGAGAAGTACTGAAAATTGATTCTATTTGCGAAAAAGTAGAAACTTGCTGCCCAAGTCTTACGTGATCAAAGCAGTATATGCTCTATGAGAAAATGCTTTGAAGGGAGTGATTCAGCATCCTCTGCGAAATAACGGCAATCGAAAGCAGAGCAAACAAAGATCATTAACACAGTTAGCTCCCTTCAATAGTTTGTAGAAGACAGTGAAGAGATAAACACTGGTAGATGCGCGCATTTCATATTGTCTCATCAGTACCAATACGATAACGGGAAATTATACCGTTCAGAGTTACAAACTAATCAAATGAGGTGAGGTGAGGCGATGGTCCGAGACAATCAAAGGTCAACAACTGAGTGTTTCTGCACACACAAGGCTGGCTCACTGCCACGGCCTCGGCAAACCGCAAGAAGCCTGGGTTGGGATGACGTAATAATATCAGATGCAAAAGAAGAAACTGTTTAGACCACTCAGTGCCCAAGAGAGCTGCAAAGTTCCCCGTTAACCAGGGAACAAGCACAATGACAGTGACGTCGATGCTCTGGTGCCAGATCACCGCTAAGGTCCCAACAACGAGCAACAACAAGAGTGGTACGGGATGCGTCTATGCTTTGAGAAGGATCGCAACAACCAATCAGACAGTCAATATACATCCGAGAAAAACTAGACCTGTTTCGTCTTATTGAGACTCGTCGGCAATGCGCATCTGTTGGGTCCGAAGCTAAGAGTCAGCGACATAAGCCAGCAGCAGCCATGAGTAACAGCGGCGAACAGTCATGACTGATGAGTGGTCGCAATACAGCGCAGCTCATCCTCCACTGTCACATACATGTTACGAAGGTGCAGGGGACAGGTCTGGCCACTAGAGCTACGACTAGCGTTGCAAACCACTTCCAAGAGAGTTAGCATGTAAACCGCTAGGGCGATTATTGATTGTTTGAGATGAATCATCGCAGTCAGACTCGGTTAGACAGCCACAATACATTCAGAAAGCGACAGACGGCCGTTGCGTCCTATCAGGACTCGTCAGTAGGGCGAATATGGCGGACCCTGCTGAATCCGAACCCATGAGTTTAACCCTCCGAGTTAACAACTAAAGTTACTATGAGTGAAGCTGGGGTATCGTCATGACTGAGTACTAACTGTGAAGCAGCGCGGCACGTCTCTGACGGGCATGCAGGTTATGAACGTGTAGAGGACAATGTTGGTCGCCAAAGTTACGAGTTCCTTTGTAAGTAGCCAATAGTCGAAGTGGTGTGTAATTTGCTGAGATTATTATTGATTATTGGAAAGTGGCAGGGGAGCTTTGTGTGCCTTCGAGAAGGATCGTCGTGGTCAGACTAAAACAGACAAATGAAATGCATCCGGGAAAGTGCTAGACAGCCGTTTTGCTTGAGTTAGACTCGTCGCCAATAATACGCATGCGTAGGATCCGAACCCATAAGTGTATTGTTACGAGCTACGGAGCCGGATACAGAAGGACCCAGCGCATGTGCACCACCGACGAGTTTCAGTAGAAGTGAACGACTGTTCAAAAGACTACATCTGAAACTCTCCAGACTCAGTCAGATCGAATAACCACGACGTATGCAGGTTGTATGAAATGACAGTTGCGTAGTTTAATGAGAGAAAGTGGTCGTGTATTATCATAAAAGTACGATTCCAATTACTACGTGGTTAAAGGGAGTTTTGATCTACCGAATATAGGCCAACTAGATTACTGCTCAGTAAGCAAGGGAACAAACGACTCTGCAAAATCCGGAGCATGTTGGCTGTGTCCCCTCAGTTCTTTGGGTATGCGAAGCATCCGAACAGTGGAAAATCTGAGAAGGATTGTGTCACTGCTATACCGGTAAGGGCTGTTCCGCCTCCAGCACATGAGTAAGGGAATGTCTGGATTGGAAGAAAACAAAGTCATTAATAAAGAGTGCAGGGATAAGATTCGATTTGCTTCCTTGGTACAATTGACTGCGCCATGGTGAAGTTGAAGAACACGAAACGGAATTCTTTATTATTTGGGCAAAAAAATCTCCAAGTTTAATCGTCGGAGAATTAACTCTGTACTAACATGCCTTTTGTAAAATCCACCAGAAAAGGATGTTTTGGAATCACAGCAAGAACGACATCAAACTTACTTCGATGATTCGATGCGTGTAAATAGCCAACAGATTCGTACAATCCGGAAGCCACACAATTCCACGCTCAGATTTCTCGGTTTCCTCGACTTCAAGGCCCAATTTCACCCGGCCGCAAATTTGCCCGGTGTACAAAATGCCAAACACAAAACACACGCCCTAATTAAAAGGGATTTTGCAGAGGGAAAATATGGGTTGAGCATTGGATGCGACATACTGCGACGTTTACATCGACGAAACAATTTGTGTATCCTATGTAAAATGATCTTATGGGGGAAAAGCGTTCCGACGACTTGACAATAAGACTACTAAGTGGGTTGCGCTGTTGCATCTATTCCATGTCATCGATCACGTAGTTGAAACAATGTATGGAAGTTGAACCCATTGTCTATAATGTCTGCAGTATTGGACTAGCACCGGTGTTAAAAATTTTACTCGACTAAAACCTACCAAGTCCCGTCCAATCACCTCGAGACATCACTCGCTTTGAGAACAAAGAAGACTGCCACTAGTGTGTGTTAAGAATTGTTAGAGCGTGATGAATGTGAAGTACTCATAAAACCGAAGATATTCGCTCTGGGCCAGTCCCAGAGTGGACTAATGACGATTGGTTAAAGCACGCTTCAAACAAGTTAAGCAAGAATTACTCGCGGATGTGGTCCAGTGAAATGGTCAGCAATGAAACCCGGTTATGCGTTAATGCAGTCACTCAGTGTTAACGGAAGGAATAATGCACACGGTGCATTCATCTTGCGCGTATGCTCAATTCGGTGCCCCATAGCGATACAACTTGTTCAACGATTGCCGAGTGGAGTTACTCAATAGCAGGGAGAGTGAAGACGGGGACGGAAGTGAAAGCAAATCGTATTTAGCTCTGACTTGATGAGCAGCTGTCACACAATGTAAGAAGCTTTAAACGGTAGGCATAAACAGTACATCCGTGTGGAAACAAGTTCCAGTACGGGTGGGTGAGATAGAGCCAGTGTAGTGTTGAACAGAGGTCTTAATGAAGAGCGGACCAGTATAGATAGTTACAAACGGAGCAACAGCGATTGAAACTAATGAAGGGTCAGTCAAAAGGTATTATGTCTTACCGATTCTTCACAAACTGCGAACAAGGCCGGATTGGCAGGATTCACTGCTACCGAATGAATTAAATCGTCAGCGAAGGCACAAGACACGGGTGGGTTTTTCTTCAAGGAGAATTTTAACGGTCGGTGAGTGGATATACCATCATTAGAAGAACCGCCAGCGCAAGTGCGTGCTTTTTGTGTGTTTTCGGGGCCAATTGCGTCTAGACAATCATAGAAGTGGAAGTAGTTATACAACTGGACACAAAACCAACTGTGAGGATAACCAGTCAAATTGGCCTTGAGGCAATGCAACTCTGGACTGACAGGAGTCGAGTCGAGTTGGTGTTGCAGATTTTTGAGGCTGAAGAGATTCTGGTGCAGTAGCAGAATTCGAAAAGTCTGCTTCTACTTTAGACTTGTTGATTCTGTTAAAAGAGGAAATTGCCTTCTACATGAAAAACGATTGCTCATAAACTTGTGGTAATAGCTGGTCGTTTGAGTGATGGCATGAGGGCAACCAGCTGCTGTCGAGGCTAACCGATTGCATTTGGAGGAGCTAGTGAGAGAAATTAGGATTGTCTCAGCCTGGAGGGAATAAAGCACAGCCTTGGCACGAACAATAGCGAAGCGGTTTGGTTATAACAGCAGTGAACGGACAAGGCGCGTGTATCAGTAATCCAACACTGGCGACATAGGATGTGCTAGCGACCGGTACATAGATTAAACGGTAGCAATAGGTAGCTAGTGAAGAGAATGCGAATCTGGTGTCGCAGTCACTCCAGGTGACCGTAATCGCGCTGGCCAGACAGAATATAACCGACGCGCTCAAGCATGAATCAAGGCAGGCAACGCGGAAGTGGATTGACATTAGCAGTAGGTACTGACCAATGAACGCACACAAATGACGGAAGGTGGGCAAATAAAAACTGACCAATGTGAAGCAGATATTTTTCGCAAAGGCTTATAACAACGGAACATCAAGTGGTTCAGAAAACAACAAGTATCCATGTTTCATGTATCAACAATCCGTTTATGCATTCCAAACACTGTCTCTTTACTACCCAAACTCACGCCCGTCGACCGACTGCACTTAGATGCCACACTTTTAGCATCGGTGTGTTTACCCACAAGTTTCGCCCGGACTTGCGTTTCACTGTATCATTACATGAAGTTCGGTGGCGTTCGTTTCAGTGTTCTCTAAGGCAAGAGTAGACTGGGTGTTCAGTATCAACTCCGGGAGTCATAAAAGCCTCTCTGGGCTAGTCCAGACTTTAACGCTGCAGACTACCAACTGATGAACATACGAAAGTGAGAACGAGTTGGCGTAGGAACGAGTTCCATGGGGGACGTAAAGAGCACTCAGTTAGTTTCACATAGCGATCGCAAGCAATCGCGTAATGCAATCGGCTCTGATTGTTCAGTTCTTCAACGGAATGCAAACAGTTCCACAGCAGGCAAGATGTGAAACTGCTACCTGACCGATATGTCGGAGAAATGACAAGTGATAGCAAGTCAATGTATTGGGATAAAGATCATACGATCTCGATTTAGAAGCGTATCGCGGTAATGAGAACCATCATGGTGTGTGATATACCGGTATAATGATATAGGTGGAGTGCACCTGTTGTAACAGAGAACGATGTGCGAAGAAACCAGTATGGTAAGCACCCACAAAGAAACCATTGAACAAAATTACAAGTTTAAAAATATGGCACTGTCAATCCAAACTGAAAAGGCATGGAATAGCTGGCACTGCTAGATGGAGAATATTGACGAGCCACAACAAGTTTTGACTTTGATTAGAAAGCCATTGAAAGGTGTAAGGATACGAGTATGACTTTACCATCCTTGTACTCGCACTGGTCTGAATACTTCGTTGGACTAGTGTGTTGATACGCACAGCAAAGGGGTCGGCAATCGGAGTCCATTTAGAGCCTGAGCAAGGATTACGGAGGCTGGGACAAACCAAGACCATTGCATTAAAAATTCTGATACTTATAAGTAGTCAAATATTCAGCCTAACAGTACTCAAATGCTATGTGTGCATAGCTGCTGTGTGGTGGAAGTCGTGACCTCAGGAGATCAGCCAATGTCCACCGCAATAGTAATAACCTAGATGGCAGTTAAATTGCAAGCTGTAACAGTCTGCCTCGTCCCCCATGGCTCAAGTGGCATAAATTCCTGGCTAGTTAGCGCGAGATGCTAGAGGTCACTGGCTCGATTTGTTGAATGGGACCAAAGGAATGCACACCACAGATGAGACCCAATAGGGAAAAGTGGTCGCCTGGTGCATCTTTAGATTAGGAATTAGACTACCTCGTTTGTGAGCAGCTAGGACAAATAAGTACAAGTTCATAAAAGAACCTCCAACTCATTAGTATTCTGTAGACATTGGAGAAGCATCACGGTGTGAGCCAAGACGCAGCAGCAGCAGTAAATGAATATAAATAGCACCTATGTCTGGTGGTTTAAATAAACAAAACCGAACCCTGTCGAACGCAAATCAGTGGTGTGGGCTATTTCATCCACGAGATGACGGAATAATGAACAATGAAAATAGTGGGTTTGGAGAGATACATCTGTGTTGTTCCATCGATATAGTACGGGACACTCAAGAGAATGTCGTCATTTCTTACGCGTACTGTCAACGTAGTTTGACTGTGCGACGTCTTATTCAGATGCGATACCCTCGCTAAATCTGAGAGCAGCAAAGTCAGCGTATAGGAATTGCTTGAGGTCCGACACCGATTTCGCCCCGACTATTGTCTCGGGTTAACTTTTTTAATATTTCCCAACTCGACGCTCGAAACATAGAGGGTGAGCTATCCATCTTAGATCCGATACCCCTAGTTTGTACCGGTGCCCGTGAGTGCTGCATAGTGCGCACATGTGCACAAGCGACTTCAGCATAAAAAAATCAGTTAGGTACAATATCCGGTGGGTTATTATGAGGTCCACTTGAAACTGACGGTACGAAAAAATGTAGAGCCCCAACCACTTGTATCGGTCTTCGTACGACAGACCCCGTAAGCCGCAGATTCGTTCCAATTATTGAATCGTTACCCGTACTCGAAAATTGGTCTTGTATTGGAAGAGAAGAGGTGAGTGATAATATTCTTAGATCAAGTGTAGAAGCATCGTTAGAGCGGTCAAAGCACACGTAGTCCGTTTACGTATAGATTGAACGTTTTGGTCACGTAATTCAAACCGAGGTGCGATACTACACCTAGCTCTTTCCCGAACGGTGTAGGATGCAGTAACTTGTACAAACGCCCGTCACTACTCTTACCAGCCTCATAAACTCTTAACTGGATTAAGCTGCAAACTGACATAAGCAGACCACAGGGACAGGCAGCCGAGGTCTTACTGAAGTAGGCCGCAACCGTAGAGAACAGCTTAGGGTTGTCTGCAAACTAGGCATAACGGGATCTAAGAAGCTGATGTGCTTCGTTGATGTAGATCAGGAACAAGATGGGCCTTGAGACACGCCATCACCAGTCTATAAAAAAGTTGTCAACAGAATTTGGTCAAGTGCGGCTGAATTAGCGATAATGTAAACATTCTTTTGTGGAAAATCGAAGCAAACTTACATCGGCGGAGTTCATACAGGAATGAACAAGGCCAACACAAAAATATCATGAGATGTTTCGACGGTTACCAAAGTAATTTAGACAGCGGTAGTGTTAGTAGTAAGATGAAATCGAATAACTGATCAAAAAGAATGGATCCCATCTTATACTGTAAAAATGATGGCAGATTTAAATGGAGGGCACACTAAAAACACTTGTTGCAGCTCAATGGAGACAAGGCAGATGTGGTGATGATTGCTTGTCTCATGAAAGCTCTCAAGATGTTCAGTTGCTGTGGTGTTCACCAAACTTCGAGACTTGATGGTAAATGTTTCATCCCCATTGAAGGTGAGAGCGTCAGTGCCGGAGTGATAGCTGTTTCGTAGAGGGAGCTAGTGAAAGACACCCAAGATGCGTAATATCATAAATCGGATTGGTGAGCCAGCGTCAAACTATATGACCACCACAGCTGTAAGTATTCGTGATGGGAAGCTGCTAGCTGTTGATGAATAAACCTTGATCGAGGTGAGAATACTGAGTTCGTATTCATTTGACCCATCAGTGGGGAGGATAGTGACATTGAGGAACACGATCACTTGCATACTGCGCAACTGAAAACCAGTACAGCTAAGTTCAGAATGGGCGTTGTTAAAGTGGAATCTAATCCGTCTGTCCGTGAGAATGGCAGTTATTAAAGGTGATACACATCACTTACTTATAAGTAGTGGGAACCGGCGATTATACACAATTACAAAGCACAAGTGGTTCGTTACTGTATGATCACAGCTATCTTGCTAATGAGGAACGGGAAGCGGAGAAAGGAAGAGACTTGATACAAAACTAAAACTTTTGAGCAAACATTCAGAATCAAGGTTAGACCTTAGTAAGGTCGCACGAGGACGAACCGCCGGCTACCAAGTGAAGAAATGATGGCACTGGCGAGGCAGCTTTTTTGTTGCTTCCCTGTCGCTGCGATGTAGTAAAACTTATCCCATGGAGAAGTCGGTACTATCGACAATTCACAAACACACATTATCCGCCTATGAAACGAAAACAAACACACTACTGCAGTGTACTGCGAGACAGGTTCTATAAGGTCTCAAGCCAGGAATATGGCGCGTCACGTGGCATTAATGGTGGAAGACACAACGGACTATCAACTCTCAGAGTAGTTGACGGCGAATTTATTTCCCGCTAGCAGGTTAACAATATGCTACAAAAAATTAGGGTCGAGTTCCGGTATGCTGGCATACATAGCACGTGCCCAATCCAACAACGCTCATTCGGTCTGCTGAGCTAACTTAATGATCACAGCCTAGTATACACATGTGTACTTCATAATTACGGACACGGCTGTCATCTGGTACAAGCAATGATCCGAAAGAGTTCCCACGATAGTCCTCATTCATAACGGGTGTTTTATTATTCATGTCCGAAGCTAGGAGCGGCTGCTCTCAAGTGCAGACGTACCCCGGTAGGCTGAATTGCTAACTGTCCAATGACGCAAATTGCTTTGCCGGCAGGGATGAGATGGGGCAGAGGTGCAACATGTGTGCCTACGATCGCAAGACTCATCGAGCCGTTCGGCTGTGAGAAGTGAACGTTAGGGAATACCGCAGCCGCAATCAACTGTCACGTGTGGATCGCAGGGCAAGACCAAGGGAACGCACGCCGTTCGGCTGTGAGAACTGCACCTGAGCCCGACACCACAGCCGCACTGAACATGTCATGCTTCGCTCGATTGGTAGTCGATGAAAAAGCAGCAAAAGGGTTCCCTGTGAAGTGGTTGGTGGGTCGCTGTGCCAGCAATTGAGAAAAACAGCCTGGTCGTATGTGATGACTGGTCGATGGGTGCCGTATTGCTTTCGCCACAAAAGGTGTTATCGTCTCACAAACGGCTTCCAACAAACCCGTAAGCTATTTTTTAGGCTGCTTCGCTGCTAAAGGGAATCCTACTGCCGGGAGCACATTGTAAGGTTACATTGTCGTTCGCTTTATCGTTCCGATCGCGTTTGAGTTACAGCTGAAAATTCACCCTTCATGGGTGTATAAAACGAAATCTTGACTTGACGTGACGTGACAGTCTGCCCCGACGCACTAGTGGCACCATTAGACAGCACACCAATTTACTCATGGGTGCAACTATTGCCTTCACAGTCAGACAAATGCTAGTTGTACAAATCGATCAGGCATCGATGATGTTTATCGTGTACAATGGAGAATATACATTTGTTTATTTGTTTACGTGAAAGGTGTGAAATGTCTGTACATACCAACGAAGTAAATGTTCGTCACATCAAACAAAGCGGACGGCTTCGCACTGTCAAGGATGAAGGATCAGCTTGCGCGGTTGCGCAAGTGGTATGCTGTAACGGCTATCTCAGCATTCGGCAACTCGCACAACATTGCGAAACCACAACGCATGCTGTGCATCGGATAAGGAAGGAAAAATAATTCCGGTGGTACAGTAGACTGCAGGTGCAAGTGCTAAACGCATGCGATTCACAGAAGCGTCTGGAAACCGCCCGTTTGTTTTTAAACAGTCTAGATGTGCATACCATTTTGTTTACCGATGAGGCGGTGTTTCCTCTGCACGGCGAAGGTACGCAACATGTTTGGGCAACAACCAACCCACGGCAATGTAGCGCTTCACGTGTGTAACATGGCGCGAAGTACATGGCTTGGGTTGGGTTGACTGGTCGAAAAATCATTGGGTCCTTTTTCATTTTCAGGAGTGTGTCCGGTAAATTCACATCTCACAGCCGAACGGGTCGGTGTGCCTTGCGATCGTAGGCACACATGTCGCGTCTCTGTGTCCCATCTCATCCCTGCCGGCAAAGCAATTTGCTCCACTGGACAGTGAGCAATTCAGCGTACCGGTGTACGTCAGCACCGGAGTGCAGCCGCTCCTAGCTCAGGACCAGATTAATAAAACACCTTGTAGATTTTCAGACAGAAGGGAATCATCATGCGATGTTACCGCTGTGGGGGATTAATGAAAGTAGGTCCTTTGGCGGGGGAGGCAAGGGGTCCACTCTTAGTTAACAGTGTAGTCTTCAAGCGCATCATTTTCCTGTGAGTGAGTTAAACATGTGGTATTACAAGGATGGATGGCAGAAAGCAAGGTACACTAACCTAAATCCATCACAGTGTCCGTTTGTCTACCGCCCAAACAATGCCTGCTTCGCTGTCGTATAAATGATGTGATTAGGTTTGTTTGAGCCATTTGAAGCATCATTTGGTCCTGGTTCATGGCTGCTTGTTTCAGGATATGATCTGCTTTATGGATGGTGACAATGGATTGAGCACTGGACTGGTCGTCAGTTATACGTCGTGTGAACAGAGCGAGGAAGTGCACATACCGCCGTCGGGTTGGATGAAAAGCGCGCAGCATGCACAGGTTGGCCATCTGTCGTAGCTCTCGTTCGGAATCGGATAGAGAAACAAGGGAAATAGATGAGGAAGAAGAAGACGACGACGAGGTGGTAGTGGCACTTGATATGGTGGACAAACGCGAATCAGAATCGTAGTCAGAGAGGATGGAAGCAGCACTCGACGAAGACGGCGATGATGGAACGTATGGATCGTTGTAGTCGGGAGGAGTGTGGACGGTGGACTCATTTTGCTGGCAAGAGACAACACTTTGGGAAATGCTGGGCGATGCAAAGGTGGTCTGATGAAATTGTGTGTAAACGTGATCAGCAGATGACCCACGTGTGCATCTTTTCCGTTGGCGGGTGTGGTTAAACAACAGGCGATTCCAATGAAGGCGGTTGATATGTGATTTGCCAGGGATGACCGTCTAGGAACAGAGCGGAAACAATGCGCATGAAGAAGTATACAGAAAGTTTTGGATGTTCGCAGGGTTCCATCCTTACAGTTTCTCCCTCAGCGATATGTATTTGCGTAGTGGGAAACCACATTGAACCAGTTTGCACACTAGTGCCTTTTTAGTTAGACTATCTCATTCCGTTCAATAAAGTTAGACAACTATGAATTGGGCACCGAAGTGCATTGAATCCACGATGTTGAGGGTCATTTTGAAGTACACGCTGTGTAGATAGGATAGTGACACGCAATCTCAATGATGACCGCGATTCCCATTGAAGTGAACCTTGGCCATTCGATCACTAGGACCGTAGCTGATGAAGCAGCAGCAAATTGGGTGTTGCCCGCCTGAAACCAATGCACTCCATGACGCGTTTCGAGGTTATTTCCTCTCATCAGATAGAGATAGCAGACATCGAACCCGGGACCATTGAGATGTTAGTTGTGACCGCCACTCCTAAGCCACCGGGTCACGACAGGCAAAGCTTGGCACAACGGCAAATAACAGATTGGAAAGTGAATTTGAAGTACACGTTGTGTGGATGGATTGCGACGCGCAATCTCAAAGTAGACCGCGATTCCCATTGAAGTGAACCTTGGCCATTCGATCACTAGGACCGTAGCTGATGAAGCAGCAGCAAATTGGGTGTTGCCCGCCTGAAACCAATGCACTCCATGACGCGTTTCGAGGTTATTTCCTCTCATCAGATAGAGATAGCAGGCATCGAACCCGGGACCATTGAGATGTTAGTTGTGACCGCCACCCCTAAGCCACCGGGTCACGACGGGCAAAGCTTGGCACAACGGCAAATAACAGATTGGAAAGTGAATTTGAAGTACACGTTGTGTGGATGGATTGCGACGCGCAATCTCAAAGTAGACCGCGATTCCCATTGAAGTGAACCTTGGCCATTCGATCACTAGGACCGTAGCTGATGAAGCAGCAGCGCATTGGGTGTTGCCCGCCTGAAACCAATGCACTCCATGACGCGTTTCGAGGTTATTTCCTCTCATCAGATAGAGATAGCAGGCATCGAACCCGGGACCATTGAGATGTTAGTTGTGACCGCCACCCCTAAGCCACCGGGTCACGACGGGCAAAGCTTGGCACAACGGCAAATAACAGATTGGAAAGTGAATTTGAAGTACACGTTGTGTGGATGGATTGCGACGCGCAATCTCAAAGTAGACCGCGATTCCCATTGAAGTGAACCTTGGCCATTCGATCACTAGGACCGTAGCTGATGCAAATTGAAATTGGGTGCTGCCAGCCGGAAAACACTGCACTACTATGACGCGTTTCGATGTCATTACACCTCATCAGATAGAGTTAGCAGGCATCGCACCCGTGACCATTGGGATGATAGTTGTGACCGCTACCCCTAAGACACCGGGTCACAACGGGTAACATTTGGCATAACAGTTTAATGTACGATGGTGAGGGTCATTTTGAATCCCGCTGTTACGAGTCATGTCGTCAGGATAACAATAAGTGTCAACCGCGAGGGAAATGGGGCCGAGCGCAAACAGAAAAAGGAGTGGGAAAAGGTTATTACAATTAATAGAAAATTGACATCTAGATAGGAAAAACCAAACGCAGGAGTGCCAATGACACCGTGTTTGCATTATGTGCGATACGCTCTCTAACCATTGATGTGACCCATTCCAAAGTCTCCCCCTATCCAAGAAGACGATATGTGTCAGCTGAACCAAGTCTCCCGGTCTGTATGCCAATGCATCTACTGGCCACGTCGTGAGTTCGACAAACAACACCAGATAATGTGTGGGGAAGTGGTCCACTGGTATCACGGAGGACATGTTCCAGCCAACATGAGGGGTTTCATCTATCAGTGCTCGTGCTTCGTCAAGCGAATGAACTCGGAAAATGAAGTGGTCAGACAGCCGTGTCTGAGTTTAGTTTACTGCAAAAAACCACTGTCAACGTGAAATGAAGTCAACCTGGTCAAAGCATACAGGCAGGCAAAACTGTTCGAAGGATGTTACAGTACTGACTGGACCGCGTTCCCTCAAAGGGCCCGGTATGTAAAGTGGAACAGACGTAAAAGGAAACTTTCCAAAGCAGTCAAAAGTGTGCAAATAGACTATCGGATTCAAGAGGGGAGTGATTCACAATCACTCAATAGTTCAGGTCGTACCAAACGGGTTGTCGCAATTGTGAATCTGTCGACGATTATCAAAGGCCGTTGCTGATGGATTCGACCGCCATCGTTCCCCGGGCAACATGGAATAACCGAAAGGAGAAGCGAGAGTAGATGCAACCGCACAAATAAGTTAGTGTGGAAGATGATTTTCGATGGGTTACAGACTGGAATGGAAGTGTAAACCGGAGGGAAACCACAGATAACTTCCGCAAAGTATAGGTATAGTCCAGATTTTGTTCCGCAACCGCAGGTGTGATCAATCCATTGTGCGGCGCCATTATTCTACTGTTAATACTCGGTAACACATAGGTAGTATTTTGAGCCGGGGGCAAGGTAGACCGATGGGTTAACCATAGTAACTCATCAATATATACCCGTTCCACAAGACTAGCTCTCAGACACACACTGCGTCGCAAGATACACGCAGATTTATTACCGATACAAGCACAGTGTCGCTTATTTTCAGTAAAGGAGCCGAATGTTTGGCAACAGACACACTCTGGTGCTCCGTTGGAATGTCTCCAGGAACTTGTATGGACAAAATGGAAATGCCGTGGAGTAGTATGAACATAGCTCCAAGTGGCCGCAAGAGTAGGTCAGGTTTGGCTTGGATCGACCATGTAGGATGAACGGTACCAGTGAGCCACAGAGTAGTGACATATGACATGGAAAGGGGACAAGGGGAAACAGCGTTTAGAAAGCTGCCCGACAAAGTGAAATAGCATTGTAAACTGGATGCCTTTTCAACTTAGACTGGACACAGTTTATTCCTAGAGTAGAACATGAGTAATGTGTTAACAAAGAAGAAAATAACAACGTTAAAGACATTCAGTTAATGGAAGGCTGTCTCGTTGCTGTCTTCGTCATGTTCACCATCATATGGAGGACATAATTTGCGCAGTCCAAGTACACTACCATTCCGACGCTCTCATGAATGACAGCACCTACTCAGAAGTCGTATTGAGCAGTAAGCATCTCGTCGATGCTTTCATCATGGAAAACGCATTTCTTGAAGGCGTTAGTACGCAGTAGCGACAGAAACCTCAGGTAATAGGATAAGCGTAGGATTCTCCCTAGATCGTCCATATGTGAATTCTGGCCCTGTCCATGATCATCTATTCACCGTACGTCTCCACTCTCTGTTCGATGAGCGCTGAGAAATTTGCACAATAACATGTGTATTCGTTGATGATTATGGATTAAATGATGCCTTGGCTATTTGTCGCCACGATCACATGACGTTCGCACGCGTCTCCCTACTTCAGCGATGCTGTGTCCATCGCCAAATGGGGTTGGAACCGTTACCAGAAATCAGAGTTTCCAATACCCATACACATAATAGGGTGAACGACAAGAGGTCTTGCACTAACGCCTATTACGTGTACGATTCGGGTTGCATTAGCTTGACCGCAAAGTGGTTTGAACATCGTCCAGTCGCATTATTCCATATTCCATTTAAGAACGCTCTGATGTTAATAATAAACTGTGTCCAGTATGGTTTGTAAAACGTCCAGAGTCTAAAGTGGAAATGGCCTAAATGATTCCATGGTTCATTTTGATTGTTGCCCAGAATTCGTTTTAATCCTAGGAAGGCTACACCACAAGTATTGGTTAGAGGACGTGATCCAAGACAACTGGATGCGCTGCTACCTGATAAAATACATGCTAACAGATGGATTGAGCTTTACGATGCTTTAACGGTGCGTGCCAATTACAAAGAGTAGGAAAACCATACGACGTAGTGGTATGAGGCGGAAAGCAAAAATGCCAACTGACCGTGATTGAGTTGCAAAGTTGGGAGACGGGTGTGGTCTTTCGTGAGGCAGTCAATAGTGTTCGCAGCGCATGACGACCAGCTTCATCGAGTGAATCTTCCTTAGACGGGCTGATTGTTGAGATGAACGGATTCAACAGATCTGAAGGAAAGACGCATAAACTGAAATGTGCGAAGGCCGGACGGTATCAAGGAAAAAAGGATTCCATCGGTGAAATATCACAACCGATGGACCCGTAAGAGAAACGTGCTAAGACACAGTTCACATAATAAAATTGTACGAAACAGAACTGGGTCCAAGGTCAGGTTCTGAAGTACCTGCAATGTGTCCGGATGAAGACACGAGATCTGGAGAGAACCCGGTTTACTTTAAATGAAACCTTGATCATTGCTGAAACTGGGACCATAACTGAAATCGAGAGTTTCGTGGTGCTTCTTGAACTCAATAATGCGAATACACCTTCTGTGCGATGCGTGTATCACCACCCTCAGCACGATGTGCACTTGTGTGGAAAAAAGCCTCACCTAATCCGACTCCACCATCTTAATTTCCCAGTGTGGGCTGAACCCATGTGAATGCAGATTATGGCTTGACGCAACAGTTATGTTAACTGCTGAACTCTGTTGTCCACGAGGACCAGTGCCACAAACGCCAAGGTGGTGCGAAATTCAGTTTGCGGCGGTTGAACCAAACAGAACATGCCTTGTCAGGTGTATCTCGTGAAAGTTATTGTTATTAGAAAAAAATGAAGAAACGGGGATATGAAGAAAATGGTTCTCGGGGGACTTGCATTAGAACAAGAATGTAAACAGCCTTAGGGGTGGTGGTAATCAAAATTGGAACCGGATGACTAGCGTCTAGACTGAAAAGCAGACGATTAAATGTTCAATATACCGTATATTACCATGTATAAGCCGAGGAGTTTTAGAAAAATTTCCACATCTGTAGTGGGAGAATCGGCTTATACAAAGGTTATGTGCAACATGAAAAAATCACTTTAAAAATCAACCCAGAAATTCACTGAACGCGTATGCCCCTATCTTGTCTTAGCACCACTTGCTAGTGACAGACGGTATCCCAGGCGGAGGGATGTGAGGTGCTTACAGGTAGACACAATACGTTTGTGTCAAAAATTCTCAATGTATCGCACATTTGATTTTCCTGACGGATGGCTGTAACGGAAATAAACTGATTATACAGAAACGAAAACCATCACACACTATAACATTGGAAAAAGACAGAACAGAACAGTATGTACAGGTAGATTTGATAGGTTCACATATCCAAAAGCTGTACAATGATATTACACTTACTCGAGTCCTTCGAAACTGGAATCCGAGTCAAACAGTTTCTAATAATGGTCGTCTGTCATTGGGACGTTAGGGTGAATATCGTCATCTATAACCGCACTGCTCTCGGTCATTGTCGTATTCCTCAAAAATGGCAGCGTCCTCACTTTCATCCATAGGATTACTGATGCAGCACTTTTCGAATGATCGTACAATAATTTCTGTTGGAATATCCAGCCACGCTTCTTTCACCCACTCTGCGATTGTAACGATGTCAACCATTTCCAAATTGCCATCAGTCGTCCACGTTAAATCCGACGATGCCATCCATTCAGTCTACTTGGCCCGAAGTCAATCTGTAAAGGGCTTATTGAGACAGATATCCATTGGCTGCAAGGCTGATGTAAGTCCAACGAGAATTAAGGCCACGGACAAGTTCGATTCACGGAATCGTTTCTCCACCTTCTCAGTCAGGTGTGCCCTAAAGGAATCCCAAATCAGCATAGATGGTTTATTTAAAAGGGCACCGGTTCGTTTTCCCCAAACTGTATTCAACCAGTGCCACTCTTGTTCATCCATCCTTTCACGTGAGCTCGCACAAACAAGCCGCATGGGAAATTCGCTTCTTTAGGCAGCGTCTTATGCTTAAAAATAATGAAAGCTGATAGACGGGAATCATCCGCCATACACGCTAAAACAAGTGTGTACCGTGTCCTCTCGTGTTTCGTCGTCTCTACAAAACTGTTAGCACCTTTCCGCTCCACTGTGCGATTTGAAGGCATATCAAAGCAACCGTACGTCTCGTCCATTTGGGACGGTTCAAAGTCGTATTGCTTTCGCAGCTGAATCACGAACCCATGAAAGCATTCTTTCCTGTCCGACTACTTCGGCAGTTTCTGGGCTAGTTTTGTGCGGGTCCGTAGACACATGTCGAATCGGTTCATAAAACGATTGCACCTTTCGGATGAAGTAATAAAATGCACCGGTTTTATGGCTGGAATTCAGGAGTTTTTAACACTGTGGGCGCTTGGATTCGAACGCTCGTTCAGGTAACAATCAAAGCGCTGTGCCGTGGCTCCATAACCCAATGCGCTAACTTTACCTCCAGGCATTAGTGACAATTTTGACTTTTTCTTTCTTTCCATATTCTCTTAGTTGCTTTTTATTCACCGTGAAATGGCTTGCAGCCATACAATTATTAGATGGCTCGGCAAACGCGATAACTTACAATTTAAAGTCAGCGGCATATGCACATCGCTTCTGTCCAGATATTTTTCACGTTTCCACGGCTTTGTAAGATCGTACGAAATGTGGGCATATTCCCTCTCAGCTGGATCGTGTGAGTTCGCGTTAGCACCATTTTAATTAGCGAATCACAGCGCTTATGTATTATGCTATGCTAGTCAACCTGGTGCATTAAAAGTACAACGTCGTCCCACACCACAGGAATCGTCAGCAGTGCGCATTCCATCGAACCCGGGTAGGGCGCGAACCTGCAACTTAACTGTCGCCAGTTCGTGGTTGAGACCACTGAGCTACGGGGGACGGTAACAACCATCGTGAATTAGTTACTAGATGTGATTTAGCGCCGCTCACTATCCCCTGAGTTAAAAGTTACTGCGGTGCGGAGGACAGGGTAGACCCTTCACCAAAGTCTTACTGTCAGCTTAAATACGGATCGGCTTATACACGGTAAATATACGGTATTTGAAAGGACTTCAAAAATCGGTAGACCACCGGTTGGTGTAATTCAACAATCTCGGGAACATCTGCGCCCATTCGTGGGGGACCGTCTGATGACCATAGTGGTATAGCTCGACTGGTTAGCATGCGGGAGAAACATGATGTAGGTCCAGTAGGACATCCAGTCGTTCCAAGGAACGTCTGGGAGAACGTATTCAAAATGCATTTTCATTCCACTACGCTAAAAAGCAGCTGCTACGCCGGATCCCATAACGATTTTCAAGTAAGGACGATAGAGAAGCTGTGCTATTGCAAGTGCCGAGTGTTACAAACCACTTATAAAAAACAATTGAGCTCGTTATGAAGCTATGTACCGGTAGCCATAAATCGTTAGGCGATTATAAAAGATAATTGAGGTTCGTCACAGCCAGCTTCCAAATCAGATTGTCTTCCACATGCTCGGAAAAGCACTAGACTGCAGTTTCAGCCTGTTGGGCATCATCAGTAGTGCGCATCCATCGGATCCCTCAGGATCCGAACCCATGACCATCAGCGGCTTGCACCGCCAGTCAGCAGCTTATGCCACTGGGCCCTGGGGAACAGCTTCGGACCGTTATGATTTACAAATCAACTGTGACATGGAGCATCATATCCTCCACTGCCATGCAAGTTACGAACGTTGCAGAGGACAGTGTTGGCCCTGAAAGACACGAGGTCCACTAACAGTAGCTATGTATGACATAGCAGTTAGAAACTGTCAGAGCGGATATATGATATGTATGCATGAGTAGGAGATTTTGGTCTAGATAATTGAGGTTCGTCACCGCCAGCTTCCAAATCAGATAGTCTTCCACATGCCCGGAAAATGGATTACTAAAGCTGTGGGTACAACGATGTATGCTCGGACAGTCCTAGACAAGCGAACGTGGAACAAGCAAAAAAGATGACTGGATGTGCATTTCCCCGACATCTAGTCACAGTAGAAGACCACGTTAATACTATGAGTGCGCGAACTGATGAAATAGAGAGGAAATGTGGCTTCTAACGTAACTGGAAACGTAGCGCAAGCATGGTCGCTCGAATCTCCGGAAAAACCCGAATATATCAGAGAGCAGCCTATAGTCGATAAATCATCTTTTTCATACCGAAGTCGGCGCCAGAAGTCTGTCAGTTAGGAGAGGCTGCAGTACAGCGTGATAGTGCGAGTTAGTAAAGATGAAGCAGGATACAGAGAAGCTGACACGGTGAAACTATAGCCTGGGGCATATGTGTCATGGTCACGTGCAAAAGTCGTCATAATCATCCCCAATACAGGTCAGAAGAGGATGAGAAACACCCCAGCTAATGCAGCGCAATATAAAAAGGATGAGACATCAAACATTGCAGACTACAAAAACATAAAAAGGAAGTAATTTAATGCTAAATACCACATGAGGCACTTGGTATGAGATATTATTTAGAGGTGAAAGCTAAAGGGAAGGAGAGGGACAAAGAGACTCATAACACAAACGCCACTGAGGTCGACTCTTCACCAAGTTAAACCAAACGTGTCCATCATGCTTGGGACCCCAGCCCAGCTGTCGGGAGACTAACGGATGGCAAATTCAAAACGAAGGTTTCCATTCAATTTAACCAAGTAATCAAATGAACACACCTTCCTCTTCTTCCGTCCACACGGCCGGCGCGCAAACAACACATGTCGCGGGAGTCGGCGTGCTGGCACGAGCAACACGCGACCTAGCCAACGGAGCCAGATGTGTGAAATAAGGGTGGTGAGCGGTTCAGTGGCTTCTCCTGCACTAAACGCACGACGCTGAATACATTCATTGCTCACGCTTTGGTCCTACCAGAGATTAGCTATACTGCGAAGGCAGCGATGATCGAACGTAACTACACTCTTTATGCCCGTCGACTAGATGGGTCAGGTTTTGCAACCGTATAGGAGGGTTGAACGGACGGCTGCATTGTAAACTCCGCCCTTCACTGTTAGAGTGATGTCGCGTCGGCGCCACCAGCGCCAGAGATTGACAAAAGCATCTCGAGTTTTCGGTATACAGTTTGTAACCTCATTTTCAATCCCATGGGCGTTAATATAGCTGCCCAGATACTTGAATTCCTGAACGACTCCTAACTGATCGTTACCAAGGGTCATCGCAGGAGTGGATCCCTACCAATCTTTGAAAAGGATTTCGCATTTCGAGAGGACAAAGCATAGCTCAAAACGATTGACTGCCTGTGCAAATCTGTCCAATGCTACTTGGCACATTTTTGAACTGTCATAGATTATGGCAATATCGTCAGCATAGTACAAGTCAAGTAGTCGGTCACCAGGAAGCCGCTTCAAACCTTGTAGATCGTGTCCAGTGAACGCAGTTTCGTCGATGGCGAAGTTATAGAGGAAAGGTAACAACCGGTATCTTTGTCACACCGATGGAGAAATTAAAGGGCGCTGGGTGCAAAAATCACCGTACGACGTTAGCTGAAGGAGGACAATACCAAAAGTTGAAATAAGTACAGGATGGGAGTGAACTAGGTAACCAGTAAAATAGGTGGAAAAAATGCTACCCAGTTGATTGCGCAGTGTTCAGCACGAATCGATGCTTACTTGCTATGTAATCCGTGAATTTCGTATCGCCAATTAACTGCACCGCTCGTGGTATCAATGGTGAAGCTAACAGAAGTGAGACCAGCCTCGATCGACACGATCCAGACGCGTCCGCGTCGAGCTACAGCGATAATGTCAACAAAAAGTGTAACACATTCAGATACGCTGCCTTTTATTATGTTAGCAGTGAAACGGGATATTTGAAACCACAGTAATATTGAAGAGGTGTGAATAAATTGGAGTGGACAGGCCGTAAGCGAAAACCACAAAAGACGATCCGCGTCGTCGTCTTTCCGGAATCCATGCGCATACTGATGTTCAGCGGTTTATGGGGTATTTCATTCGAACTCAATAACCTCTCATGGTAGCAATCGGTTTTACTGAGCTGCAGCCTGTAGAAGAAGCTCAAATTTGTAGAATCGAGTCTTTCCAATGTACTGCAGACTCTCAAATGACTTATGTAAACAGACTGTGTGAGACCAGAAATGGTGGCTTAGGCAAGACAACCATAAGCGTCTACTGCAAGCCAAACAAAACCGTCTCATTCTGTTATTGACAAGTTAACAAAATCAGATCATAGAATAGGTAGAAAATGCGCGGTGTTGATAAAACTGGAAATACGAACCAGCTGGATGCATTGCAGATAAGCATTCTAGTTTTATTTCTCCGATGTTAACCAAGTCAGGGGAAAGAATTTATTCACCCCGGAGTTTGACAGCCCATGTCAGATACATTGTAGTGATTATGAAGCATTGTGGTCCTGTGAGGTTAGTCCCACCGATTACCTGTTGCTAGCAAAACTGTTATGTTTTGCGGTAGTAGCATAATGCTATAGCCGGCTACAACGGTACCGAAACACTATAGTGATGCTATTAAGTGAATGATACCACAAATTGGATCTAATGCATAGTTTAAAAATGATCAGTCAAAATATGTATGTGACAACAAGCAAAATGCATACAAATGAATGAAACGACCGGATGTGAAACGACGTTGGGCTGAATCGACCTAGGGATGTAAGGGCGGGAATGGATCAAGCAGGTGTGAAATAAACGGCGCTGCGTCGACAGGCTGCCGATACTACTCATCTGTCACTTCATATTTAGCGGTTTTTTGGAACTGTCAAACTTTAATCGTTTTTTTAATTCGCGACAAACTTTTATTTTAGCTTTGTTAGTGTCCATCCTATCTAGTTATCACACTTTGTGTTCGTCCATCTTAAGCGCTGTAGTTTTTACAATGCTGAAGGCGTGTGTACATTTGTGATAGCTGAATATTCACTCGCCTGAGTAAATAAAGCTCTTACTTGAACTAAAGTTTAATTAAATTGAAGGATCTAATGGGGACGAAAAGCTGGAAAAGAGATCTATATCAAGTTGCTTTTCAAGGGTGATTTTACTATACTGAAATATTTTACAATTCAATGTGGACCAATGCAAGGTACTCTACATACGACACCAGAGTACATATTCCTACAAGCTAGAAACGCAAGTATTGCAGCGCAACCCTGGCGTGCTTGTTCAAGATAACTTGGGTTGTTTTAAGCACTTGGCAAAAGCATCGAAAACTGATAACCAGCACGTCGGCTTGCTACGACAGGCTTTCGGACAACTAGACACCACTATCTTCAGACAGATGCTCAATGCGTATGTTCGCCCCCATTTTGAATACGTAATCCAAGTCTGACAATCTTGGCTGAAGCACGATCTTACTACACTGGACTAACCTCGACGTCGGGCTTCTAAATAGCTCATTGGAATGCGCTACCTTCTGTAGGAGCAGAGGCTGAAACGTTTGGAAGTATTCAGCGGGCGGTATCGCCGACTACGAGGTGAATTTATTATGGCGTACATGATTTTACACAATCCAAATCATGTGTACCGTTCTTTACTGCAACTCAGCGGTAACACCAAAATTGGAGGCCATTCTTTGAAATTAACGGAACAGTACAGCCGTCTGTAGTGTCGTAGAAATTTCTTTTCCATTCGTGTATGTCAAGCAAGGAACGCTGCCTCCCCCCCCCCTGAATCGTTTGTTTATGCACTCACGCTAGCCATATTAAAAAGTCGGTTGGATGACACACTCCGCCACTTACATTTTGTCACTTGACGCTACTATTTATCCTACTCGCAGGAAATACCTTGGATGCATTATTTTTTCTCCGATTGAAGCCATAGAAACACGCGGAATGCAGGGCTACTACATTACATACAATAAGTCCATTCTTTTGACAATATAACTAATAACTGCATTTTTTCATGAACATTTTTTGAAGGAGACTGAATGCTTTAAACATACAGTGTAATAGGAGTGCGCAATCAAAGCGATGAAAAAATCTTAAGATAGATGCCAAGAAAGCAGAGCTGATGACAGATTTACTTGGCAATCTACGCGTCTCCTCTGAATGGCTGACATTTCACCAGGTTAGAGTGAGTTTGTTCAACTGAAATCTCACAGTGGATGCAGGCGGAAACAGTGAGTGCCTATGACTATACTTGGAACTGATAGAAAAGTCACTACTTCGGATAGATTTGGGGATAGTGGGTAGAGGTGTTCAAGTTGAATTTAGGAAGCACGCTGTGTGGTTGAGTTGCGATTCGCAACCTCTATTGAGACTTCGGCTCACTTTGAGGTAAACCTCGGTCAGTCCGATCTCGAGGACCGTATCCTGAATGGATATATTTGGGTGTTGCTTTTCCCAACACTGGCACACCACAACCGCAGTGTTGTCCTGGTTTAGACTCGTCAGGTGGAGATAGCCTGAGCTAGGGTGGAACTCAGAGCATAGTAGCTCATGGCTGACGCCCTGAACACTATGCTACTGAGATCCGCGAGCAACACTTGGCACAGCGGAAAGTAATTCAAGTTGAATTTAAAAAGCACGCTGTGTGGTTGGGTAGAGGTGTTTGTTGGGCAACGGTTCGTTTTTGTAACAAAGGCTTTATCAGGCCCTATACCAATAGTACTCAGGTGACAAGTACGCTGGTAATTTAGGCGAGTTTGTATGGTTGAATGAACGGTTGTCAGCGAAGGACCGAGTTTTGTGACATTCAGTGCCTAAGGGAGGTATTTCGTAGATGGAATACAAAGGACCCTGTAAACAGACCTTAAAAATAGACACAGAATACAGTGTGCCTTAGCGATAGGGATGTGGGCTATATCGAAGGAACGTGCAGCCGTAATCTGTTCTGATGGTATACGTACTTTACTCTCACTCCGTGTGTGGTGACCGCAGCGTAAGAGAAGGCATGATCCATGGTACGATGATCGCAAGCAGCAGGTAAAAGTGGAAATGCAACGAGCACATAGTGGAAAGAATCCGTTTTGAACAAATAAAATAAATGCTAGTCGGATCCAGCAGAGCAGCTCAGCATTGAGTGTGCTGAGAGCATCACGATTGACTCACCTGTTGCCGTATACGTGCCACCAAGTTGATCGCCTCGGAAGCAGAATCCAAGGGACGTCGCAGAGAAAGTACCATACTTTCTGTAAATTTATGCTCCGAATTCAAGGCCACGCTATTCCATGCCTCAATAAAGCGAGTTTTTTCGGGACCTCCTGCCGCAATCAACTCCGTGCTGAATTCCGAGTGAATGCGATTGTTGTTCTCAGAAGAATCCGTAAAACATGTCACTGACCGGGGGCGAAGAAAAATGAATAGAGAGCTTACCACCGTGAGATACGGGAAAAAGAATTGTACCCATAGTTCGACGTAAAATGAACAAGCAGCATTGCGCGAGATAGACTGAATTCAGTTCATTTTATCTACTCTCAATGAGTCGCTGGAAAACCCACCTTGCTCGCCTATGTACCTATGATATCCAGCACATCGTTTAAAAGCCCTACTCTGCATGTGCAACAAGGATGTTCAATTTAGCTTTGATGGTAACTTCTACCGGCAAATCGAAGGCGTAGCGATGGGCAGCACGCTTGGACCTGTTCTAGCTGACATCTTCATGTGCCACATAGAAAACAACCAACAAAGGAAGCATAGAAAACGCGTAGTTCTATGCCTAGTATGTAGATGACACTTTTGTGATCGTAGACACTGCACGGAAGACAGACAGCATGTCAGTAGAATTAAACCAAAGTCATCCGGAGATCAGTTTCACCATGGAAAGAGAGTCGGGTGAGATGTTGCACTTCTTGGACGTATCCGTAAAGAGAAGACCACTAATACGGTCGATTTATCACAAACCTAGCTGGACAGGACAGTACCTAAAATATAACAGTTACGGCCCCAAGAACCGTAAGCGATTCTTGGTTCACACCAGCTTCACGAGAGCGTGCCGAATTTGTTCCAAAGAGTCAAACACGAGTGAATTGCAACGCATTGTATCCATGCTACGCGATAATGGGTACCCTAGTAGATTTATAGCAAGATACGGGGTGGAAAATCCCCGAAAGATGAAACAACCTGATGTTCCCAAGAAGCACTTATTCATCGAGCAACCTTACAAAGGGGAACAAACTGATAAAGGGTTCTGCCACGGGCTACGGCAATCCAAAAAGAGGCGTTATTACGCACCTGAGCTAGTGCTACTGCACCAAACCAAAAAGTTGCTGAACCAATCCAACATAGATAAACCTCTCCCTGAAGTCACCGCCTCGTGCGGTTAGCAATTTAACTGTATGTGCGGTAGCAAGTACATTCGTCGAACTGAGAGGAAGTTATCTAAAACGACTATGGAGTATGTCCCACGTGGCCTAGCAATGAGCGGCCCTAACCTACCTGCCAGCTCTATTGCTCGACACCTACTCGAGTGTGATGCGTGTCGAGACCCCCGGAACTCGTTCAAAGTCGTTAGTAGGCAGAACAGGGCAACACTGCTCCGGTTGGCCGAGGCTTTCACAATTCGGCGGCTGAAGCCCAACCTGTGCAAGCAAGTTGACCTAGTGTCCAGGTTAACCTTGCCATGGTAAGGTATACGATCAGCCACTGAAAGCGAGGACCCCAATCGTCCCAGGTTCAAATTAGTCGCCTTATTGATTTCATGGCACATGAACTCACTAAATCCTCCCAGTGTGCGTTTGTAAGGGACTAAGTGAGAACACACGAAATAAATTGAACTTAGTCTATCTCGCGAAATGATGGTTGTTCGTGCTATGTTGTAAATTCTCAAGGGAACTGGTAGCGTGAAATTTTTGAGGAAACGCCTCCCACCTATTACTTATACGTTTGCTGCTTCTAATCCTCTTTGCAAAAAAACGCTGACAGTTTGTATGTCTTCAGCGGTCTTCTAGATAACCGCAGATTCGACTCCTAGTGTCCAGAGGTCATAAATCCAAATAAATGGCTAGGCTTCTGCGATATCGGTCTTGGTACTCTGGTGGTATCCCATAGCTCACACAATGATTTTGGCTACAGTGAAAGGCACATGAAACAGTAGCCTAAAGACAGTTTGACACGCTACGTCTGACGATCGAACGGTTGTAAAGTTCGGAACGAAAAAACGGGGACAATAGCGTACTCTGACAATTGTCCTATTCCCTAATTCGAAACAGTAGTGAAACGCCTGGTAGTAAGCAGATCGTTGCGAACACAGCATGACTGTCAGCCTCAACGGAAGTGCATGATCCAATCCGAGTGGATACCGGATTCCATTTATCTGGAAGAGGGAGCACAACCCTGCCACAGATCATGGATCTTGCCATGCCTACCATAACAAATACGAATGCAAGCAACATGCTTCAGTCAAAATAACACGCGCCGAAAGACAAAGGATGCTCACAAGCTGTCATTACAAAAGTAGTACTTCAAGTGACACCTCCACTCAGGAACCACTGAGCACGTGGTCAACATCCAGTAATTTACCATGTAACCGACACTAGTTTGTAAAGTATGCCACAGCTCCGTTGCCCGGCACTTGTTCGGCTGCTCGAGGCACCAGAATCCCCGCGAAGCATTCAAGGTCATCAACAGACAGAGTGATCCCACGTTGTTGCGTATGGCTGAGGCTTCCGTCATCTGGTTTGAAATCGAATCTAGGTAAACAACTTGAGTTTGTGGCTAACCTTGCTTTGCCTTGGTGAGGCAAGACACTCTAGCCAACGTAAGTAACCAACGATTTCTGGTATTGACCTTTTACTCCCAATCGTTTGAAATTTCCACACATTGTATGTAAGCGACTGAAGAGAATACACGGAATATATTGAATACAGAATATTCCGCAGAAATGTTCGTTGTTCTTGCTCTGTTGAAATAGAATTACCTGGAAGCCAGGGTAAGTAGACTGCAGATTGATTTGGGTCTTGCGAACAGTGCTTTGGGAGTTTGTCCGATTTCACTCGACAGGTTAGCGATATACACTGCCTTTTTGCTCCCTTAGACGCCCGACATCCGCAGAAGTTTGGTGAAAAGTCATGGTAGGAGACGATGTGGCCAGCGTGACATTGCAGCGCACATGTCTTGCATATAGACTCTGAGTTGTCCACATCACAGGTGTAGCAAAGGTAGCGATGGGAACAGAATGCTGGATTGGTTTTACCCCTTGTTCCAGAGATGGTGCAAACGGTACCATCGTGAACAGGATTCAAGACTCCACAGTCCAGGTGGTCCTTAGAGAGAGAGAGAGAGAGAGAGAGAGGAGAATATGATACCCAGGCAGTCAGCAAAAGACTCAAGCGCGAATGTAGAAACCGAAGGAATTGCGCAGAAAATACGCACCAATCTGGTGGCGGCGCCTTTAAATTCACGGTTGCCTTTTCACTGGAACATCGAAATTACGTTAGCTGCTGCGGGTTTAACAGATTCTATTGAGCTTTTGATATTTCCTTCCGTTCGACTAGTTACAAGGTCACTAATGCCGTCCATCGCAAATTTTTGAAAATGTACCTGGACATGGTGCACGCATCGCGCGAAGTCATCGGGAGAGGTTCTGTGACTTAAAAAACTCTCTTCCGAGTCAACAAACTGGGCTTTGACACTGTACCGTCAAAATCATGAAGATTCGAGATCGTTTATTCGAGGGACACTTGCACTTCTAATGCCATTTCTCCAGTTGTACAATTACAATTTTTAATGGTGTTGCTTTAAAACATCTGCAGTGCATATTGTAATAGACTAGAAAGGTACCCTCTGGGGCATCTAAAGCTTACAGTAAGTTGACGAGTTCATAAATGTAGGATGGGCGCGAAAATTATGAATATATGTTGTTGAAGAAAAGATAATATCCTGCACGACGAAGTTGTGAGTAACAGTTCGCAGCTGTGCGTGGGTGAAGAGTGAAAGTTATAACTGGTCAGTGCATTGCTGAACTGCTTTACTTAAATAAAAGCGCTTGATGCTGAGAGTATGAAAAACGAACAGATACTACCTAGAAGCACATTGTGAATGTTGTCCTCTATCGGTTTCCGATGGAGTGGCAACGGTCCCTTCGTCTCTCATACTTTCGCTTGTTTAATCATCTACTTAATAAGCCATCAATAGTCAGGTATATTACAAAAATGAAAGCGCTCAAATCCAACACCCGCCGTGGTCAAGCAGGTTCGTAGATAGGAGCCGCGTGCTAGTCCAAACCAATGGTTTAAGGCTATCGGACGTGGCGCTTGTCGGAGTCAATGCTGTCCATGGATTCATTCTCATGCGTTTAGCTGTTCATACTCTAATGCGATTAGCTTCATGCACCTCATTCTTGCTTCCATTCTGCTAATATCACACTTAAGTCTTACCGCATTTACTTATTATTCTTCACGTTTATCACTGGTGATGCGATACGTGGCAAACTACATCCACGGCACTTTGGTGCCCGGATCATGATTTATCAACTGCACTAAACTGAACTGAAACAACCAGATAATCTTCAAGTATCGTAGGTTATTTAGGAAAGAGAAATTCACTCATTCACTTAACAGGAAAGCAAAATACTACTAAGTCGTTAGTATTCCCAACGTGAAAGGTCTAGTTGAAAGTGGTGCATTTGTCCAACAGGGCTTCTTTGGAATCTAGTTTTCAGTCTACCGGCGTGCCCACCGTAACTGTGTTTTAACATTACCTAGGATACAAATACGGGCACATCGAAAACTTACTTATCACGCGTACGTCAGTCTGTCTACTTTAATGGGAACATAGCTGCGAAGAAATAGCAACAGTTGTGCACGACGTGTACGTTCCTCCGCCAACGCGATGTTCAGTTTTTTACCACAGTAGACCCTGTACGCAACGGTAACTTCAGTGCTACGGTTAAAGATTGGTCAGTACAGAGCCCACAGGCATCCAATTTTCCGCGAAACATTATGCCCTCAAACACTGACCAGAATGTATCGATGGTTCAAGTATCCCTGGTCTGCGACTCATCGCGTGAAGCGTTGTGCAAGTTGGGTTAAGCAGACGCAGCACTTGTGTGCGTAGTGCATCGTGTGAGATCCGACTGGATCTCCGGACTGCCGTCAGAATTCCTAGGGGTTTTCTCAGGGCGCGCAATGTGCGGCAATTTATGGTGCGTCCATGACAATCGGTAGACACACCCCAGCCACACTATACATTTCGCCCTATCCCATCAGTCACAACAGGGAGTACGAGCGGCTTTTGTGGTCACAGTAGACCTTGATAACATTAGTGGATATTGTAATCTACCATGAATTTAAATAAGTATACCCAAGTCAAATGGATTGGCAGTTCTAGATCGGGACTAGCATTATAACCGTCTTTTAGCGCATGACAAGGTGGTCAACTTACTTCATATCGTTTAGTTGACGCACCATTCTGATAGGTGGTCCAGCGGCTAAATAAGCGAGATATGCTTTGAAACGCTGCGTTGTCTTCGTTCCGTTGCAAAGCGGATAGAAGAATCTTGGTGGTTATTTGCACTGATGCATAAGGAGATTGACAAATGTGTGGAGACGAGCCTGATCTCCCAAACTCTGATGCATCGGAAGTAAACATATTGTTCAAAGCATGTCTGACCAGGGCGCAGTACTCGCAAATACCGAAGAGAGTAAGACTGAGCAATGCCTATTTGGTAGAAAGAGAAGGTAAATAGCAAAGTGTATGATAGGGTTATTACTGACAAAAAACAAACATTGATTATTTGGTCGCGTTGAGATGAACTGATTCAGTCGAGAACTAACGTAGTGGGACTTGGAAAGAAGCGGTTCTAGGTAAAAGAACATGTAAGGGAGCAGCAGGCACAAGTGAATGCATGTGGAATAAAGCACCGTGACTCAACACGGTCAGGCATTCAACCGTGCCCGAAAAAGCCCTAGACGGCCATTGCGCTCTTCTGAATCTCATCGGTAAGGTGTACCACCGTGACCTATTGGGGGATACGATATCGTGACCCCATTTTTTCGGAGAGAGGTTTGGAATTGCAAGCTGGTGAGGTTCGGCGGCCGAAGTGCCCAAGTAACCAGATAAACTGGATACTGGAATCCACCAGTAGGACGCAATGTAATGGTGGGTGATCGGCGACGGTAGCGCCTGATAAAATCGAATGCTGTCACTTTTCAGTTGGTCTGTCGGAAGTAGTGAGTATGCAACATGGAAGAACCAGATAATGAAATACATAATACAGATTTATGAAACGTCGAAAAACGTTAAAAACGTGATGCTAATCGTTTACAGAAAGCGAGGTCACCTACAGTAAGTAATCGATGTCGAGCAAATCAAGGAAAGCAAAAGAGAATAAGTATAAGAATCACAAGGCATGTATACCTGCGCATATCGCAAAGAGCTGGTCAGCAGTAAATACCATGAATCCAAGCATGACACACTTGATATCCTCATCTTTCCCAACAATCATGGAAAATCCCCATTCTTCCACCAATGACCGGGAGGGCAAACAATGAGAAAACAACAAGTGACACGTGGGTTTGTGACAGCTTTCTGTAGCACCCACCCATGTAACATTGGTCCACGTCTTCTAAGAGACGATTTCACTTCGCTTTGGTGTGTTTGCAAAAAACGTTATCAGAATGGCTCCTATGGGAGCGCATACTGCTTAAATAAGTAAGCATTTATAAGTAGACGGAGATCTGTAACGTGTAAGCTGAACTGCTCCTGTTTAGGCTCAGTGAGATGGCGATAACACATCCGGAGACACACTGGGTGATCGTATTGACGTCTCAAGAATCGCACGGCGCGAAGTTGTAGTTCATGGGGCCATGGAATCAAACTGGTCACGCAGTACAGGCAACTGGAAATTCGAAGAGAATTCTGCGTATACCGAATGTCATGGCCCTGGGACACCCTTACAGCGCGGGCAATTCATCATCATAAATACACATTAGTTGAGGGTGTGAAACACATCTCAGCTAATGTGCCGCAATACAAAGAAGACAAGACTAAAAATACGCCACAGTAAAATTCAAAAAGCAAGTAATATAATGTTAAATATCATAACATTCATTTGGTATGAAACGCAATTGGAAGGAAATCTGAAAGAGATGAACAAAGAAACTCACAACACAAACGCTATTGGGGCAGGCTCTTCGCTACATCAGTATGTGTATCCGACCAAACGTGCTCATCGTCCTCCGGTCCCCAGCCCGACAGTCGGGAAACACCAAGCGACTAAGTGAGGGTTTGCATCCCTCTCGACTAAGTCATCGCTTGGCCTCCCTTCCTTCTCTTCCATTGAGACCCCAGGCGCGAAAACAACGCACGACGCGCGCAGGCGATAAATGCATTGCATTATCACCATTCAAAAGATCCCATGATGACACAGTGACACATTTACAATTAAGAAGTTAATAATAGCGCTATGTAATTGGATCGAGTCCGCGGACACTGGAGAGGACGCGGAAGTGATCGTGTAGACCACCGGATAGTCCTTTCTAAACTCCAGCTTTACGGGATCAATGACTGCTTCTAAAGCTAGATCACCAACTTTCTCCTTCAACAAAAAATCTACGATTAGATTTTGAAGCTTCTTATTTGGCCCAATACAAGTCGAATGTGGTGTGTCGCAGGACTCAATTCTAGGGTCACGAATGTTTTGACATTCAGAGGCAATCCCTTCAGGTTTCCTACTGTCTGCTGATGACATCAAGATATGGCGCCGGATTCAAGCGGATGCCGATCAGAATTTGCTTCAGAGTGACCAAGATTTGGTACATCAATGGTCAACCCAAAATCTGCTGGAGTTCAATATTAGAAAATGCAAGAGACATTTCGCACAACACCAGAGTACCTTCTCCTACAGGCAAGGAACGCAAGTATTGCAGTGATCTTCCGTCGAACACGACCTGGGCGTGCTGGTTCAAGATAACCAACATCTAGGTCTGTTGCGACGGGAGTTCGGACAAATAGACAACCCTATTTTTCGACAGGTGCTCAATGCGTACGTTCGCACAATTCAAGCCTGGTACGTATAGCTAAAGCACAAATTCACTGAACTGGATCAGGCTCAATGGCAGGCTTCCAAATAAGTCATGGGAATGGATACACTTCCATTCGAGCTGAGGCTGAAATGTTTGGAAGTTTTCAGCGGGCGTGGTCGCCGAATAAGAGCCGACCTGATAAAGGTATATTTGATTGTACACAATTCGAATCAGGTGTGCTGCTCTTTACTGTAACTAGGCAGTAACATAAAATTGAGAGGCCACTACTTGAAACTAGCATAACAAGACAGTTGCGTTTGGTGTTGCAGAATTCTTTCGCTATTTTTGTACGTCACTCGTAGATCGCTCTCCCGGAATCGGTCGTTTCTGAAGCGACACTATGACACGCTCAGCCATTTCCATATTATTACCTCGCACTAGGTCCTCGTCCGACTCGTGGAATAGTGCTTGTGTACAGTCGTACATAGATGAGACTTAATAATATCAAATTTGTCCATAGGAAAATCAACATAACCATGAGTGAGTATCGCGGCTATGCAAACTGTGGAGAATGGCAAACATTCGCAGGAAACTGGTGCAAAGTTTAGTACGAAGACTCTGTTCGAACTAGGTTATTCCAAATGCATCAGGAGGTCTATGGACCTCAGATCGCCGGGGTATTCATGAAACAAAGCGTACAAATTCGGGGGCACATAATCTAGACCAAGAGATTAGTGTTGGTTAAACCGCCTGTCGCGCCAAGTTGCTAAAATAATGTTAAGCGACCGTGGAAGAGAGAAAGGTGGAATGCACAGTTCGAATGCTAATTCCCTCATTTGAAAACAGTATGGTGGATGGTGAAAAGAATAGACAGCATGACACATCTCACACCAATACATAGGTTGTGGTGGCTATTAGCGGGAGTGCTAAGAATTAAAAAAAACTTGGGAACAAACAGGCACATTCATAACATACCTGGTGATCCGAGTGACAGCTTTCTGTTGAACCTATACTCTGGAAAGTATTGGCCTTTGGATCGTCTTCCCCAGTCCGATGTTTTGATAAAAGACAATCTGTCGTCCGACGTATGGCGAAAGTTAGTGGGTCACTCCATTTTGAAAATAACTCAAGCAGTTTGATGTGCGCCGATGCAGTAGGACAACCGAATGACAACCAACGAAGTGTCGCAACTGTGTAAGGGAGTATCGCGTAACAACTGACTTCGAAAGGGTCTTTTTTGGACAGCTCTGTAGAAGGTTCCGTAAGAAGTGGAACGACGCGGTCTCGCCACGTATCAATCGCAGAGGTCAACAAATGCTCGCAAATCTAATAAAGTGGACACACCGTTACTCACATCCATCGATAGATACATAAGTAAATAAACTGTACAGCCATTGACAATGCGAGGTAAAGTTCAACTGATTGATCAAGCGAGAAACTCATGTTCCAGGCTAGTCGGACAGTATAATCAGTGGTGTCTTCCAGGGAAGTGTGGGGACCATTAAATTTCCTAATCAACATGAACAATAGATGCAACCCCATCAAACATGGACACTCGCTATTGTTTACAGATGAATTTAAATTGGTCCATTCAGGCCAATCAGACCATTTACAAGAGTGCCTGTGAAGCATACGCATCGAATATCTCTAGTGAACGACTGCTAATGAAATTTTTTGCAAGAAAGTCTCAAGTACTTGGGTACAGATGTCGCACCCCGGAACGCTCCGTCACACTTGCCGCTAACATGATCACATAATCTGATTCAGTTCGGGAGTTTGGAAAAAGGTATTCCAACTCCTATAATTGCTCTGGACATATACTTTACCAAGTCGCAAAAGCCGGACAATTATCCGGCTACATGACTAGAACTTTCTCCATATCTGAAACAACTTTAATTAATCAAAATAATCGTGAGAGCTACTCTGGAGTATTGTACTATCATTCACAGCCAAGTAAGAAAAACAGAGCAGTTTTGGAAAACGTCCAAAGATCATTTACTAAGCTGGCCATGAAACGCTGCTCAACCCTGAGGTACTATGACGGTCGTCGCCACCTCCGAATGCATCCACTTTGGCCGAGAAGGCAGAAGAACAAGCTACTTCTTCTATGTAAGCGGATTTTCACGGAGAGTACTACCCTCGCACTACGGAAGACCGACACCTACCCCACTCGCAACTACGGCTACTTGATGCCATCACAGCCAGCGAGTCATTAAGTTGCATGAAGCAGGTGCTGGCTACACATCCTACTGGGTGGGCAACGCCGCCTCAGCACCACGTGATCATGAGGTCGTAGTCGCAATATCCGATCGCCCTTATGGCCAGGTGGTGGGTGAAACAAAAGCCATCAGCGCGCGACTGATGACTGTTCGCCTACGACTCGGAAGAGGTAAGTTTGCTACTTTTATAAGCACGTACGGTCCGAGCATGTGTTATCCTGATGACACGCTTGATCAATTCCACACTCAGCTATCCTCCGTGATACGGTCTGTGCCGAGGAGCGACCGACTATTTCTGCTGGGTGATTTCAACGCGCGCGTTGGGCGTGATGCATCGGTGTGAACAGATGCTATCGGCTCGCATGGCATTGGTTCAGCGAATGCGAACGGTGACAGGCTGCTCTCACTGTGTGCCACTCACGGCCTGATGATCACGAACACTCGGTTTGCACTGAGTGCGAGTGATATAGCAACTTGGACGCACCCACGGAGTGGTCACGCTCACCTGCTCGACTATGTCATCGTGCGTCAGCGTGATATGCGTGAAGTGCGCATGACACGTGTACTGCGTGGAGCTGAGTGTGGCACTGATCACAAGTTGGTGCGGACCAAATTGTACCTATTTTTTCGTAAATCTATGTAGTGCACTCCCGCCGTGAATCGGCGTAAATTTAACATTCTCTCTCTCGGTACTGGGGCGAAACGTACTGAGCTGGAGAAGGTGATGACTGCACGCCTGTGTGATGTGGACTGCATAGCCACAGTGGGCGACCTGTGGTACCACATTCACGACCAGGTGACAGCTGCTGCCGAGGAGACCATCGGCCGCGCAAACTCTAAGCGGCCTGATTGGTTTGATGAGAGCAATGCAAAGATTGGTGCATTGGTGTCGGAGAAGAATGCAGCATTTGCTGCACATGTGGCAGACCACAGTGATTTGGGGAAGAAGAGTCAGTTTCGCAAACTTTGACGGCGAATGACCCGAGAGCTCCGTCGCATAAAAAATGCATGGTGGACGGAGAAGGCGAAGCAGATGGAATGCTACGCCGAACGCCGTCAACACAAGGAATTCTTTGACTCCTTGAAGCCGGTGTATGGAAGGAGATTGGAGCCGCTGAGGGCGCTGATCGATGGCAGTTCAGGCGCTACGTGCACCCAGACTGCAGACATAATGCAGCTCTGGCGGAAACACTTTGAATGTCTATTGAACAACTGTTCAGAGATCGACTGGCCTACATTGAACGGCCTTAAGCAGCACGATGTGAAATCGACTCTGGTGGACATGCCGACACTGGATGAGACGCAAAGAGCACATGCTCAGCTGCAAAACGGTAAGTGTGCTGGGGCCTATGGGATCCCGCCTGAGGTATTGAAACACGGCGGACCCGCGTTGTTGACTGATACTGTTCTGTGTTT